TCCTCCTGCCTCCTGCCCCCCCAGCATTCCTCCCAACCCACCCCCCACTCCCACCCTCTCCAAGGCAAGGCAGAGAAGTCAGCAGAGCCCGGCACACTCAGTTGAGGCAGGTCCAAGCCCCTCCTCCCTGCACCAAGGCCACACAAAGTAACCCACCATAGGCATCTGACTATCCTAGCTGTCATCATAGAACCCTCATCCAGTGACTGAAGGAAGCAGATGAAGAAATCCACGGCTGACTTTTTTTTTAAGGCAAAGACTTGCTATGTAGCCCAGGGCTGGCCTGAAACTCACGACCTTTCTGCTCCAACCTGCCAAGGGCTGCCACTCACACAGGCCTGCACCGACACACCCAGCCATGGCTTCCCTTCACTAAAATCCTTCAACTAGCTACTGCGAATTTTATGCTAGAGATCGCAGCTAAAAATTATTCAATTAAGTATCAAAATAGTCCTTTCTGTTATTGTCCCCTAATTCAAAGGGACATACTTGCTAGGAAATTTGCCTATCTCGTGACACCTTTAAAGCCAGCCTTATTGGAAAATGTCGTCTTCTGTTTTCACACAGAGGCTCTTGAACCTCAAAGGCAGGGTAACTCAAGCACAGCCCAGGTGGCCCTTGCGCTAAAAGCTGACCAGGGCCTCCCACTGCTTACTCCGTGTCTTCCTTCCAGGTATAACTTCCGTGGATTTCGATGGTTACAAGCCATGATATTTGCCATAGAGGAGATAAACAGCAGCCCTGCCCTTCTTCCCAACATGACGCTGGGCTACAGGATATTCGACACCTGCAACACCGTCTCCAAGGCCTTGGAGGCCACCCTGAGTTTTGTGGCCCAGAACAAAATCGACTCTTTGAACCTGGATGAGTTCTGCAACTGCTCAGAACACATCCCTTCGACGATTGCAGTGGTGGGAGCAACTGGCTCGGGTGTCTCCACGGCAGTAGCCAACCTGCTGGGCCTCTTCTACATCCCCCAGGTACTGATGCCTTCCTTTCTAAGACATATTTTTTATTATTTTTAAGAGTGTGTGTGTGTGTGTGTGTGTGTGTGTATGTGTGTGCGCGCGCGCATGCGTGAACGCGCATGCGTGAAGGTATGTGCATGCATGCCAGTGCCTTCAGAGACCAGAGGTGTCAGATCTCCTGGAACTGGAGTTTCAGGTGGTTGTGAGCCACCCAACATGGGTGCTGGGAATCAAACTAAAGTTCTCTCAAAGAACAGTTCAGCCGGGCGGTGGTGGCACTCGGGAGGCAGAGCCAGGCGGATCTCTGTGAGTTCGAGGCCAGCCTGGGCTACCAAGTGAGTTAAAAAAAAAAAAAAAAAAAAAAAAAAGAACAGTTTAACCACTGAGCCATCCTTCCAGTCCAACTGGCATCTCCTTAGATGGGCACCAGAGGCAGAGAGGAGGAGAAGCAGGTTTGGAGAGTCATGTGCTAACAATGTCCTCTCTGGCTTTCCCTGGGCACAAAGGTAGTCACAGCAGTGTACCATGAGCGCCAGAAGTCCCTGAGACCTTCTCTGCTCCTCCAGTACTCGTTTAAACAAAGCTTACAAGTATACAACTTGATCTTTTTTTCCTGTCATTTCCCAGTTCACTCCTTTAGGAACTGACATTCTATTTTTATCAAAAGGAGTAAGGTCCTATGATGTGAGTCTCACCGTTCAAACCAAAAATATCTGCCCCTAATTCTGATCCCTCAACATTTCTTCTTCCCTATCAGAGGGAAATAAAGCATGATTCCCCATAAAACAGAAATGTAAACACTGTCCCGCACATTCTGAAATGGAGCGTACTCTAATTCCGCCAACAAATATTTACAAAGTGTGTATGAACAAACAGTCTCCATCCTGCAGGAACTCAGCCTAGGCGGGAGGTAGATGCATTTTCAAATACCAATCATTCACCAAAGCAAGTATTTTATAAGCATTGATTCAAAGTTGTATTCCTCCTCTACCATACCAAACGACAGCCAGCTCTAACTGCCATTTTATTACCTGATTTTCCCCTTTAGCGCTATGGCCCATCAAGCCAACCTTTCTTGGAATTAATAATTATAGATCTATTACATCACTTTATTGTAGTGAGAATTGCAAGAAGTTTAAATGTCCATGTCCATCAGCTTGGTTGTGGTATTAGCATTCAACTGTAAATTAAAGATCAGACTTGGATTTTTTTTCTAGTGTTTAATATTTGAAATTCATATGAATAAATTCCCATTTCTCTTCTTGCAAAGGGGTCTGCTTCTTTGCTGACAGCCTCAACCCTTTTGCAGACATGTAACAACACAGGCATTCTTGTCATTGTGGACAGAACCCTTACTTTCAGGAAGTAAAGATGTTCCCCATAAGAAAGCCCTGTCTTTGCCATTTTTGTGCCAAAATGCTTTGACCCAGTCCCCACCAGACACGTTGAGCATGTTTAAATATGTGCAGCATTGTTTTAAATGCACCGGGATCATAAGTTGTTATCCCATAGCCAAGTGGTAGAAGATGGAAATGGCAATAGATTTTTAAAAAAGAATGTGAAGGGTGGAGCTTCATTTCTGCTTGGCTAGAATGAAAGACAAGAGTATGAATGTTGAAAGGGATAAGAGGACTGCTGTGGGCTGCGGGTAGTGATGTACACACTGGGAGTGAACTCACACATAGTGAGTTCCTGTGCTACCTACAGAGTGATACTCTGTCTCAAAACAACAACAACACCTATAGTGATTATCAGTCAAATTACTGTGTTCATCTTCATCAGGAGTTCTTTGCTGTGGCTTCATGTTAGAATCCCTCAGGGAGCTTTAAAAAAAAAAAATCCCTCTGCCTGGGTCCATCCTGCAGACATCATGGTTAAAGAGACGAGGATACAGCTTATCTGGAACTTTGATGCTTCCCCAGCGAGTGGCATTGCAGAGCCAGGAAGCGGTGCTCTGTGGGGAGGGCCACGTGCCCGGCCCTGTTACTTACATCAATCATGCCACCAAGAGGCTGTAACAAAAAAGACCAGCTGGAAGAAACTGGTCAGAACAGGTTTCCGAATTATCCACGTAGTTTTCCCCCTCTGTCAAGAAAAGTTGGATGTGTTTTTACGGCCTTTTCTTTGAAGGAAGGACACTGAGTGACATTTACTTGACTTTATAGGTGGTCAAAATTATATTAAATACATTAAAAGAATATATCCTTGAGAGATAGTTTGGGTTTTAATTTGTATCCCTTTATGAACATTTTTGTTTCTTTCTTTTTTTTTTCAAAAGAAAATAAAGAAATAACCAATGATGGGCAGATATTAAAGATGGTAAATTTTGTCCTTGCAAAACCCTGACTCTGTAGCCAGTTTTTCAGATCTACAAAGCTTTCAAAAATTCATAACGTGGGTGTGGTGGTGATCTGGCTAGGACATCTGTCACCCCATCGATCCATTCAGCTGATCAGGCTGGCTAGGCAGATGTCCCCTTCCTCCCTCTCCACTCCATATACATTCTTCCCGAAGCTGTTCACATGGTCAAGGAGGACCCTCCCTGAATAGAGGAGGACCAATCAGTGGGGGGGGGGGGAGTTATGTATACAAGTAGCTGTGCTCCCCAGCTAGAACCTCCAAAGAGGCTCTCAATAACTAATAACATGTACACAAATCATTCCCTCTAACCACCTAGATCCTGAAACTCTGTGGGAGCAGGAGGGGATTATTCAGATTTAAAAAGGTGTCAGTTTCATATTACAGCTTCTAAGATCAAAACCCTGCCAGAGAAGCTATGCTTGCCTTTGGCAAATTTGGTTGAGTCTTTCCTAGGCCAGTATCTTTGACATTTTTTATATTGACTCTTAATCAATGCAAAGAAGCCTAGTGGGAATGTTTATTTTAAAACATTGCCCAAACAAAGCTGATTAGTAAGAAGTATCTGAAAAGTGTTCCTGTAGGTCTCTTCCGCTTGTTTTCTGGAAGCTCGAGCATGCTTTAGGAAACCAGTGAACAAACCCTGTCAAATGCTACTTCACTTCCCAGAAGGACTCTGTGAAGGGGACAGCTGCCCTGTTCATCAGAAGAAATGCTCTAATAACTTGGGACTCCCTAGCGGGTGAGCTGTGATGACACCCAGGGTGCTGCTAGGGGCCCAAGCAGAGGTGTTGATCCTCTGTAGCTTTGAGGCATGGATTGTGGGAAGAAGTGACTCTTGGTTAACCAGCTCTTCCATTGACCATCTTCTGTGCCATGATTATTTGGGGGGGGGGGCGTTCAAGACAGTGATTCTCTGTGCAACAGTTCTGCCTGTCCTAGAACTCATTCTATAAACCAGGCTGGCCTCGAACGCACAGACATTCACCTGCCTCTGCCTCGTGAGTGCTGGGATTAAAGACCACCACCACCCAGCTCAACCACAATATTTTTCTAGAACATTGCAGAGCTCTGTCCTACCTAATGATATCTGAGCTCTTTCCAAGCATTTCTCTGAACATTACAGAATTTCTTTCCTTGATGGACACCCACGAACTAATATAGACCTGCCTACAGTGCAGAGCGGGGTCTATCAACAACATGCCTTCTCCGGGCTTGCTCTTCAGCCTCTATAACTTTTTTTGAGATTCACATCAGAGGGTAGTAGGCAAGGAGGTTTAGTCCTCACCTACAGCTGAACAAAGGGCTTTGTATGGTGGTTGAACCACTGAGAAGTCGGAGGAAAGGGTGTTTTTCTGATGACATTTGGTGATGTTGTTATTGCTATTGAAGTTCGGGGCAACTGAGCTTACATCCTGAGCTTGATTGATTTACCTGAGCCTAAAGGCTAAAGAACTCTCAGAATTCCCCGTAATTGGTGCTAATTTCATCTAAAGAGCAGGGACAAGTAGGAGAGGAATGCAGGAAATAACTGGGAAATGGGAAGAGAGAAAATGAGTGAGTAGGAGGAAGGACCTCTTTGGGGGTCCTCTAAAGAGTCTCAAGTTTATAACCATAGGGAGGCTGGTTCTCCCAGAGGAGGGTTATGAACAAAGCATTCACAACAGTGCGGGGAGCTGTAATGTTCAGATCAAAACCTGGCCCAAAGCCGCTCAGTCCTGGAGCACGCCTTTAATCCCAGCACTTGGGAAGCAGAGCCGGACAGATGTCAATGAGTTCGAGGCCAGCCTGGTCTACAGAGCGAGATCCAGGACAGGCACTAAAACTGCACAGAGAAACCCTGTCTTGGGGGAAAAAAAAAAAAAAAAAACATGGGCCCAACAGGCAAAGCATGTGCCAAGTGAACACATGGATCTAATGTAACCAAAGAGGTGTTTCAGAGGAAGCTAGAAGACATGGGGATAGGGGACACAAGACTCCTTAAAGAGATCAGCACATTTCACTATGGAGGGGTTAAGGCGATTGCTAGACCCAGTTTTGAAGGCATTATCATGCACTGGGAACTAACAGGTACTTAGGGGTTCACGTTGGGGGTAGAACTATCTGATTTTTCTCAGACGTCCATCCTGCCCGCATTGAACTCCTTTGGTAAGAGACCTTGAGGTAAGCCTTGAGACTCAGCTAGAACCTTATTCTTCGTTCTCGACTTTCCCCAGGTGAGTTACGCCTCCTCCAGCAGGCTCCTCAGCAACAAGAACCAGTACAAATCCTTCCTCCGCACCATCCCCAACGATGAGCACCAGGCCACCGCCATGGCGGACATTATCGAGTATTTCCGCTGGAACTGGGTGGGCACCATTGCCGCGGATGATGACTACGGCCGGCCAGGTATTGAGAAGTTCCGAGAGGAAGCAGAAGAGAGGGACATCTGCATTGACTTCAGCGAGCTTATCTCCCAATACTCTGATGAGGAAGAGATCCAGCAGGTGGTGGAAGTGATCCAGAACTCCACAGCCAAGGTCATCGTCGTTTTCTCCAGCGGCCCAGACCTAGAGCCCCTCATCAAGGAGATTGTGCGGCGCAACATCACAGGCAGGATCTGGCTGGCCAGTGAGGCCTGGGCCAGCTCCTCCTTGATTGCTATGCCTGAATACTTCCATGTGGTCGGGGGCACCATCGGGTTCGGTCTGAAGGCCGGGCAGATCCCAGGCTTCCGAGAATTCCTGCAGAAAGTCCATCCCAGGAAGTCTGTCCACAATGGTTTTGCCAAAGAGTTTTGGGAAGAAACATTTAACTGCCACCTGCAAGAAGGCGCTAAAGGACCTTTACCTGTGGACACGTTCATAAGAAGTCACGAGGAAGGTGGCAACAGGTTAAGCAATAGCTCCACTGCCTTCCGACCCCCCTGCACAGGGGATGAGAACATCAGCAGTGTGGAGACCCCTTACATGGATTACGAACATTTACGGATATCCTACAACGTGTACTTAGCTGTCTACTCCATTGCCCATGCCCTGCAAGATATATATACCTGTTTACCTGGAAGGGGGCTTTTCACCAATGGGTCCTGTGCAGACATCAAGAAGGTTGAGGCTTGGCAGGTAAGTCTTTCACGTAGCTAGCAGTTCTCTGTGTGATAAAGCAGAATCGGGCTGACCCAGCAAAGAAATATAGTTATTTCCTTTTGTGTCACTGTGACCCAAAGCACCTGAGACACCAACTTAAAGGAGAATTTGTCCCAGCTCATGGTTTCCAAGGGTTCAGTTTATGGGACATTTGGTCCCATGTTCTTGGGAAGGACACCATAGCCATTATAGTATGTGGCATAAAAGAACTGTTCGCTTCCTGACCAACCGGGAAGCAAAGACAAGGATCTTCTAGCACTCATCTTCTCCTCTCCCCCTCCCTGAACCCTGTTCCATCCCCTCAGGTAGTGGGGAAGGTGCCAGCATCAGGATGTGTCTCCTCCTCAGCTAATCCTCTCTAAAGGCACCTTCCTGGACACACTCAGGGGTATGCCTTCATCTCCCAGGCAACTCTAGGTCAGCTAAGACAGGGACAAGTACAACCAGAGTGATCACAAAAGTTGCAATATCAAAATGATCACAAAGTAGAGCTTTGATTCGTGAAACCTTATCACACATCTGAGAAACTGACTTTTACTAAACCAATGTTTGATGAACTGTTGCTAGAAAGCTACATACAGCTCAACTGATCATTAATCCGATGTTTCCAGAACACCAAAAGCGTCACTCCTAAAGGTTCTCAAGTGTCTGGGAACCGATTTAGTGTGGCTTCAATAACTTGCCTTGTGAATTTACCCTTGTGAATAACCAGCATTTGTTCAGTGCCTGTTCTGTTCCATACGACAACAAGAAGGAAAGCCGTGCTGTGTTCAGACACTACACTTGTTATTACGTCACTGGCCTGTGCTGGACTGGCCAGCTGGCCAGCTAAGCACAAGCTTGGGACACAAAGTATGGAAGGCAAGGCAAACCTAAAAAGGTAAATGTTTCAAAGGGAAACCAGCCCAAACTACAGAAAACTCAGGACTTAGGTGAAGGTCCTGCAGGTGTTTTACAGGGTAACGTTCAGTTGTCTTGAAATTTTGAATTACACATGGACGTGATATCACCGATGTCTGCCATCTCATGAACTTCCAAAGGAAACAACCGGGTCTGAATGATATCCTACATAGGTGCTCCTGTCCTGCCTGTGAACTTTGGTTTTTCATTTGGACTCTCTTTTACACTCTTTGTATGGTTTTTTTTTTTCTCAGTTCCAGATTTTATCAGAGAGACTTCATGAGAATGGAAGGGGGTGTCCCCTGACTTTGAATCAAATGATTCAGCTTCAGCAGCCCCTTTCTAAGCTGTGATGTTAGGCAAGCCAGGAATCTCTAAGCGACAGCTTTTCCCCCGTAACACGGCCCTCACGTCTAACCTGCTGTCCACCCAAGCTTCTTTTAAAGATGAGATGAGCTATGAAAGCAAGTTGTCAACTTGCAAGCTGTATGCAGATGTGTGGTTATCACAGTAATCATTTATATGTATGGGTGTGTGGTGTATGTTCATGTGTGGGTGTGAGCACACCTGTCACGTGCCTGCAGAAGCCAGAGATCAACTGTTGGGTGTCTTCTTCAAAAGCTTTCTGCCTAATTTTTATTTTATTTTATTTTATTTTATTTTTATTTTACAATATCATTCAGTTCTACATATCAGCCATGGATTCCCTTGTTCTCCCCCCTCCTGCCCCCCTCCCCTTCCCCCCAGCCCACCCCCCATTCCCACCTCCTCCAGGG